TGTAATGTCACATATAATGCAACATTTAAGCAGATAGAGCGATGTTAAGGATTTCAACTATTTAAATTGTTATAATATGGCTTCAATTTTTTTCTCCTCCGACTAAGGAAAGAACTAATTTTCTGAGAGAGAACTTAGTTTCTGTAATAAAATTCTATCTGTATCGTGAAATGAAATATTGGCTGTAGGTTACGCGAGAAGTACACGATTAAATAAAAATAAAAACTTTAACGGTTTAAAAGGCGAAACATATTAGTTAAAATTATTTGAAAATATTTTAACTACGGCCCGACGTATCGCGTGCTTTGCAATCTCTGCGTGACCTAGCTACAGAGTTTAACTAAATCAAAATAGATAATTTTTTCCTTTGAGATTGCATGTTATTGCACCATATTTTGTTTTTCAAAATAAAAGGACACAAATGTTTTAAAGCTATGGCGGTAAAGCTTTCCGGGCCAGATTAAAACAACGGCAAGGTATCTGGTAAAACCAATTCCGTCCATTAAAAGTGTCATTTCAGACATCCAATATCGGAAAGTATTGGATCCGTGCTTACGCCAAACTCCGGGCGGAATGTCGCATAAAAAAATTGAAAGGGCTTTTCTTCGTCAGACACGTTATCTATTAGCTATGAATGTAAGCTGTGGATAAACGGAGATTGAAAAATTTCCACAAAAAAGTTTATTTATTTATTAGATTTGACAGAGTTGACCTCCGGCTGAATAAGATCGATTTAATGACAATTAAGTAAATATTTTTTTTCTGTCGTTACCACATTATTATTGGATGAAGCAAAGAGAATATAAATATATGAAAAATAATTTTTACTCTTTTAAAAACTAAAATTTTCAAAGTCAAAGAAGGTACATAATATATTTGTTTACTGGGAGAAGGATAAGGCATACAGCTGTGCTGAAACACTGATGAGATATGCAACAGCCCCTATATTCAGTGGCCTTCACGGCTTGAGCGTTTGACAGTAGCAAATAAAAAAAAGGTAATATTTACAAAGACAATTAACACAATGTGGAGAAGGCTATAGACATATTTTAATATATTATCACATCTACAGACATATTTTAATTATACTTCTCTTATTTATAACTTTGCCAAGCGTCTTAAGGTGTGAAGGTCTTTAAACATGATATCAGTAGCTATTTGACGTGTAGACCCGATCGATTTTTAACAGTTTGTGACACGTTCAACTTAATATTTGAAAGTTTAGTTCAAATTTAGTATAGGATTGTATAATATTGAATATTATCTCTGGCAATACAAAGTTTTGTCAACCCACCTTTGACCAAGTCGTTTAAGTCCGAAACGTTTACCGGAGAACCCAGTCCCATCATTGGGACCAAGGGATTGATGAGGCGCTTCTCGATTAGGCAAGTTTATTCTGAAGCGTTTGAGTGTAATAACTCGCTGTCTAGCCGAACGTACAGAGCAATAAACTGTAGAGGTTGATTTAGTGATGCGAGCCGTGCTTAATGTGTTGCCTCTGGACGACGGTTACTCTGTGTTGCCAAATTGTTAATGCCTCAATGTTAGAAACGTGTTACTTAGATTCGAGAATTTGTTAGACCATAAACTGTTAACAAAGAACACATTATTTATCACAGTCTTTATTTATAATAGGGAATGGACAAGCCTTGGGTTCACATGATGGTAAGTGAAATCTGCCAGCTATATAATAATTAAACAAGATGCGCTATTGACCTACTTCGTCTTAAGGTATTCGGAAATCCACAGACTCAAACTTTTCATCCGTGGACAAGATTCGTGACCCGGATGGAATTTCGATATTCCCACCACCCATTTAATATCAAGATTTCCAGATGAAGTCCAACATGTTTCAGAAGAATTATAATTTGATTATCAGAATTTTGGACCCGGTGGGAATCGAACCCACGACCCGTTGATTGTTAGCCATACATTGCTACCATTACACCAACGAGCTCCTTAAAACAATTAAAGAGAGTATAAGAACAATTCAAGAGTGGTCGAACAGTTGGCTAACTTTTTATATTCAAACTATTTAACGACCTGTTACTCAGATACAAATTAGGTTTGTATATTTTTACAATAAAATTATCATTCTATCAAATATATCATAATCATTTTGAGACATTTTTCCTCACAGCAAAGTAGATTATTAGTTAACACTTTATCAGGAGTCTTTAAAGCCATGTCACGCAGGACCATTATTGAAAAGAAGTCTTCATATTGCTAATCTCTGTGTCTCAAAGCTTTTCTATCAAGAGATAATCTTTGTTCTAAAGCCAACCGTGTACATGACACTTTTAACAAAGCACGACGACCGACCATTTTTCTTTATTAATTTCGTTGAAGGAAAGCGTTGAAAGTAGCAATTTATTTTTCAGTCACCAAGCTATAGTTAAGAATAAACGCAGCGATGTGCGCGCGTTAGCCATTAGATGGTTCGAATTAGAATCTCTCAATATGAAACCTTTTGATAAGAAACAAACACAAACTTCGTCTTCCCGCATGCCCTATAAAGACGACGCTCGATATGAAGCTTACAATACTTCACATAAAAAAACACAAAATTAGTATTTTTTCCTATATTGTTCGATATCAATAAACGGCACTTGGCCTAATGAAAAAGATAACACAATAAAATATGTTTGCATACGTACAGAACCGTTTGCATCGTTCTTGGTCGTTTTTTTTTGTTTTTAGGAGCAATAAAAATTGTAAAGGCTACAAGTCTAAATTTGAGAAATATTGAAAATTCAAAGACTGGTGCAAATATATCAGCATAATCGATCCTTATTACTCAAATACTGTCTAAACAGAAATAAAAAACTTTAACAAATTTAAATAAAAAACTTTAACAGTTTAAAACGAGATATATATTAGTTAAACCTCTTTGAAAATTATTTTACCTACAGCCCCGACGTTACGGATGCTTTACAGCTGCCGTGGTCACAGGGCGACTTTATAATTTATTTATTTTTTAAATATATTACTTTCTAAACATACATAAATAATTTAGGGCAATAATATATACGCAAATATCGAAAACATTAATCGTATAGACAGATATAAATAGAATAATCGTATTCAATAGTGTCATTTGATATCTAACATTCAATAACTTATGTTTTGTTAAAACGTGCGACCCACATAGGTGTAATTAGTGACAATCTCGATAACAGTTCATTCAGAACTTTAATTGGATCGATACGTGTACAGAGAATTGCGGATTTCGGCTAATTTGCGCCGTGTGTGGAAAATTACATCATTATTAAGAGATTTTTGTTTTAAAGAAACATTTTTAAAATTACCCGTGATATATTATTTTTACTAAGGAATCTGTAGCATAATAATGTCTTATGTTTTCAATATTACTATCCTTACATTGCACATGATAGATTTTTTTCTATGTTTAACTCCTGTATACTATGCAGGTGTACGAATACCAATTAAACAATAAGTCCATAAATTAATTAATTATATTAAAAATTCTACGAGTCATTGACTCAAAAACCATCAGTGTCATTAAGATTATTTACCTAATACTATCTCTTAAACGAATAAAGTCGTGTAATATATATGTACATAACTAAAATAAATTTAAATTATTATTTATCCATTATTAATATCCTGATTGTTTAGGTAAAAGGTACAGAGTATTACAAGGTCATGGCGCGGAACAACTCTAAGTTTTTATAAGCTTTAATTGAGATTCTTAACACTTGCGTATTAAGGTTCAACGTCTTATGCTTTGAAGCTTAATAAATCATTGAAGATGAAATTACAAAGTTATAACGTTTGAAAACTTTATTATTTTTTACATGTTACTGCACATGAAGGCACTATACAATTTAAAAATCTAAAATGAATTGAAAAAAAATTCGACTCGGGCAGAACTTGAACCGACATTGGTAGAGCAACAGCACGGAACGCTGACGGTTCAAGTCCTGCCCGAGTCGAAAATTTTTTCAATTCATTTTCGATTTTTAAATAGTCTTTGCTTGTAAATAAAATAAAGCTTTCAACGTATTATATATAGATCTTAGGATAAGATTAGATTTTTTGTTAATACTTAATACAAAGATAACAATTACTATTGTTAACGTCGTATTTTCCAAAAGTGGACAATCGTTAAACGGGGATCCTTTATGTCTATTCTTATAAATGACGATTATACGAATGGTAAAAATGAGACTGACCTTTCGAGCCTTTGTCAAATTTAGGACAAAAAAAGCAATGAATAATTGTTATTAACACAGAAAAAGAAATCGAAATTAACAATGCAAAGCCATTGTTAGTTACGTAAATTGAAAATTTATTTCGTTAGTACTGTAAACATTAAAATGTAAAATATTAATAGTTTGTATGTTGTGTATGGAATTGAAAGCACAAATATTATATTTTAAAAGTGAGGAGGAAAGAGATGTGATTTATTCCAATCATTTGCATGATTTTTTCATACTAGGTCATACAATAGTATCATATGTACGTCGAGAAGAGGTGGCAAAATATCACTCTTGTCTCTGTGTGTGATTCATTCATGTACTATTTTAAAGCAAAAATAGAGAAAAAAAGTAAACGATCATTAGAATATAACATAGAGAGCCATAGTTTCACAATTGTATTAAAGAAGGAAAGTCAGCTGTACAATACGAAAAGAAGCATATAACAACATTATAAAGAACTGATAAGAACTATTTTAAATCCATAAATACAAAATTTGGGATTTTTTCTACATTAAAATAAAACACTTTAACGGTTTAAAACGCGATATGTTTTAGTTAAACTTGTTTGAAAATTTAACTACGGCCGGATGTTTCGGATGCTTTGCAGTAGCCGTGGTCACAAGGAGACAATGGATTTCTTTTATTTAACGCCCAAACTACAGACAGTATGCAGTCGTGTCTCAGATAAAAATAGAAATATTGTGCAGAGTCAAGAAAAAAGTTAGTTGATTGGATTAATACTCTTGCTATAGATACAAAGGATATCAATGTTATACAATGAAAACAGTCCGTCTGCTCCCGATACCGTTATCAGAAGGTAAACATTGGACAACACAAGACAACAACGACTTTGTTTAACCCTGTTACATCTGTCTGGTCACGAATAACGTATTGTCTTGATGTCTCAAGCAAAACGTGTTTATTATTCAAAACACCAGCTAAGGCTGAATGCAATCTTGGTATATTAGCAAAAAGCTAAAGAAGCTAGCAAAGAGACATTTCTTTTCTCGTGTCACTAATCGTAGTAGTTTCAGCAAGCAAGTATCTAATCAGAAATTAATGCTCCATAAAAAACTATTAAAATATAATATGCATAGCTGCATATGTTAAGAATACATTATATTTTTTTAACATATTTGTTACTCAAAGCTACCGGTTTTGTATATTTCTATTTTGCCTACTATTATATTGTACTTGTTAAAGTTTTCCATATGTAAATAAATAAATAATTTTACTTTGCAATCTGAACCCAGGACTTTTCTCACATAGCCATGCTAATAAATGAGCTTTAACCATGGTAACAAAGGGCGAAAAAAATATCACGTAAGATGTACTTTCTTTTCGTAGTTGTTTTAACTTTGTTAGTGTTATTTTTTACTTTTAGGTCGGTACAGGATTTAGTTTTTACATAAATATTTACGTCTACACACTATTTAGTTTTCGGTGTACGGTTGAATAAATGTAGTGAATAGCGAATTATAAAGTGAAATTTGTAATTTCCATAACAAAGTTTTGAAATGGGGTTATCAGTGTGTTGAGAGCGATGAAGTTTTGCTGAACTGTTTTTAATGCAAATCACCGTTTAGCAACTTTCGTTCGAGTTTTATTCGCGCTTGTGAAAAGCAACAGGATTACGGAGATTATAATACGAAATTTAGGAAAATCTACACATGTATAATATACCTGAATGAAGATATAATAATCATAATGTAGATCATATGAGGTGTAACGAAGTAAGGTACTTAAACGCAAAACTCGCTCATTTTTGTAACTCGTTCATACATCATTACATTTCTCACAGAAGTACTGTATTAAATGTTTACTTATCATAACAAGTACATCGCTTTACAGCTTATAGTACTGATAACAATATTATAACAAATAAAACAATTGTACAATATTACTAAGAGGGATTTTTACGCTTTATAGTAAAGTTAAGTTATTACGTAATTTTTGGATGATTTTTAGATATTATTTAAAATACTCAATTAATTGTATATTAATTTATATAATAGCAATAATAATAATAAGCCTTTTATTTCTTGCTTTTAACATTATTTGTTGATATATAACATTAAACATATTTTGTTAGTACTCAAGCTCAGAATATGTTAGTAAAAGTATATGTATTGTTCAAAAGCTTATAAATCAGCAAGAACCCCAGTTTGGGTATAGGCCTCCTCCATAGATACCCATTTTTCTCAGTCTTGTGCTATGCAGCACCAGTCTATGCCAGCAATTTTTTTTAAATCGTCTTCCCAGCGTGCCAAGGGTTTCCCCCCTTTTAATTTATATACATTTATTATCTTAGTTAAGTAGTTTAGTTTTAGCCATTCGGTGGTCACTGCTGGACATAGGCCTCCTCCATAAATTTCCACGACTGGTCGTTCGCAAGTGGCAGGTCGTCGGTCCACCTGGTAGGAGGTCGTCCCCTTTTTCGACGTCCGGTACGTGGTCACCACTTTTCCAAAACCTTTTGCCTCACGGCCTCAGTTCTACGAGCGTTGAGTTCAGCCCACTGCCACTTCAGCTTGCTGATTCGATCTTATTGTATTTATTATCCAGCCCTAGACGATCAAATAGTTAGTGATTAATAGTAAGATGATAATAATTCCTTTACGTTACAACGACTCCAAGATTCAACCGATAACTCGTACAATTAATCAAATACATCGACATTCTTCAGCCAGTCTAATCTATCAATACAATTAATCAGTCAAGCGTGCACAAGTGCCAAATTTCGGTCCTAATAAACTAGCAGATAAGACTCAAAATCGCACAGCAAGTCATGAACCATGCGGTCAAAGTCCTCACATTAAGGTTAAGTGTGATATGTCTGATATTTGATCAGCTGACGAATACCTTTGCTTGGAATTAGAGGTACACATAGCTGTCGTATGCAATAGTCGCAGTCTAGTTATTATAACATTAAATGAATTGATGATTACAGGTTGATATTCGGTACAGATTATTGCTTTTTCAGCACGCAGCAGCGTGCAGCAGCTGCTACATGTGTGAAGCTGCTGAGGTCTGTATGTCGAAGGAATTGGACAAAGTACCATGATGGCTTTTGAATCAATGCAGTTCAGGCGGCCGCAACTAGGTTTGATAATAATTCAAGGATAAATAAAACGAACTTTAGTAAATAATGTAACAATAAGCAAGAGAGTTCCCGGGTTTTTTTTCCAAGATGCAACGAATTTATAAGTCGATTTGCGTCTCAGAAATGAAATTGAAGATTAAAAAGTTGCTGTATCTTCAATAACGTCTGCGACAAAACATGTCGACTTGGCTTTTATTTATTGCATTTAGTAATTAAAATAAAACAGTTGATCATTGGAACTATAGTCTCAATGGTAACCGTCACAAGTGATTTAAGTTGGTTTATCTTAATACGTTTATTTTAACATTCCGAGGGATAAGCAGTCTTAAGTGTTCATAAAAAATTAAGATACTTTAAAAGTCTTAATTTTTATGATAAAGGGTACTTAAATTGAAAAGCGAATAATCTGTTATAATGTACCAATAGATTGGAAGAAATGATAATTATCAATAGTAAGTTAAAAGCTGTTTTTTTATTTGTGTTAAGTTCTAAACCTACTCGTACTTTTTTATGACCGATTAAACATAGTTTTCACGTCATGGAAGGTAAAATATCTCAGCTTTTTCCTAATATCGTTATACACAAGATGCGCTGCCAACCTTTTTTGGCTTTGGATATTCGGAAATCCTTGATACAGACTGAATACTATTAATACTATTACAACATTTTAACTAACGCTTCATTCTAACAGACACTGCGTTTAAATGAACACTCAAACACAGCAGCCTAATAGTAAATAAAACACTTTAACGGTTTAAAACGCGATATATTATGTTTGTCGAACTTATTTGAAAATTATTTTTGTTATCCCCACGTGACCCGCTCGCAAAGCATCCGAAACGTCGGGCCGTAGTTAAAATATGTTTTAAATAAGGTTGATTAATATATAATGGCGTTTTAAACCGTTAAAGTGTTTTATTTGAATGTGTACTACTCGCGTAAACTACTGACAATATTTAATAATAGTAATAATCTTTGCTCTAAATTCTGGTTCCTGGTGATATGATCAAGACTAAGATTAAAATCCCTTAAGATAATTGTGCATATCAATAGCACGAATTACAAACGAAATCGCGTCTGTTCAAACTCAAATCTCGCCGCTCTTAAGGTCGTTTCAAGTGTTATTTTTAGATCAAACACACGGGTTAAGGTGCACGTGGTACTAAGTGACTGGCGCATTAGGCATTCGATAAACTGTATGCATTTAACTAGTTAAAAAGCCTGTGTTGGAATTGATAGCTGTTTGTAACGAAAATGCGTATTGAGAGGATTCAAAAGCGATTTCTATGGAATTTAGTGTTTTCAGCCGGGATTTCCAGAAAAATACTATCGTAGGGAGTTAATAGATTTATTATTAGTATTTAAATAACAAAATAGACAGCCCTGCTCTTTTACAATCCTTCAATAATCGGGTTCCTATTAGACTTCCACGAGGTCCTATTACGTAAATAAAGTAACAATATTAGCAATTAGTAATGCAAAAATAAGATCACAATTATTATACTGTATAGATATCGCCAACCGATGATATTTTTACAAAAAAAAGAAAAAACGATTGATAGCAATTTCGTTTGTAAGTAGAAATGTAAGCATTTTTTACTGACAGATTACGTTTTGTAATTGAAGTCTATGGATTTAAGAATGTCCCAGAAATAATAAAAAAGCTAGTCAAAAAACCAATGGCTTTTCCACTAACTTGAACCCTTTCAGGCTCAACGTAAATATTATTCCCTATTACAAAAATCGATATAGATGATTCAATTATTATTGAATCATTATTTTTTTAATGAATGTTAAAATAAAACGTATGAAATTATAGGAAACCTATACCTATAACCCTGCTATGTTTTTCTAGTGATATTACTTTACATCGAAAGTAGCTAAAATATTGTGTTTAATTCGCATATTTAGTCTCAGGCATCTTATGGTCCTGTAAAGATGTGTAGGATATACACTTTGGTCTACCAGCAAAATAGTTTTTGTTATTAATGTATAAAATATAGTTAATGTATATTGGTCGTCCTTTCTGATAGTGCCCCATAAGGTCAGTGAATTCGGCACTCTGATCACTGCGGAGCGCAAGGTTCAAATCCCGCGTAGTAATGTTATTTTGGTGTTTGGAATTTTAAGTACCTACGAGGTGTCTTGCCACCTTTATTTGTGTTATTACAGATATTTCAGTATCTAATTCTATTATTATTACACCGCTACGAATTGGTATAAGTAACAAATAATTGTGTATTTACAGACGTTGTATAATTCCCTATTAAAAATGTAATTACTCAAACTCGATCCCCAGTGGAAAGTAAACATTTTATTTCTTAATTTTCTTTTATGTTTTATTTTACGCAGAAGAGTCAACGTAATAAAACTTAATTGCCTATTGTTAACGAAACAATTTTAATGGAAAGCTTTCAGGAGTGATGGTGGCTTATTGAAGGATCAGAAATGATCATTTCTTTTCAGTATCAAGATGCAAATTCCTCGATTTAAAGAGGATTGACCTATTTTATTGCTAAATAAATAGTAAAAAACTATATCTCATCGACAAATATTAATAAGTTAAGGGATTTGTCAGTTTATCGCTTTATAAATTTGAAAAACACGACTCGGGCAGGACTTGAACCGGCATTCTCAGCGTTCCACCTCCAACTGCTACCGAGTCCTGCACGAACTCGTCGATTTTCAACTTATTGATACATACACCTTAATGTAAGCAGAAGATGCCGGTTTAAGTCTTGCCAAGTCGACATTTGTTTCAATTTATAATCGATTATTAATTTATATAGTGCCATGTGAAAAATATTACTTTCCACTTTATTGCTTTGTTTATTCAATGTAAGCATGAATTGGCAAAATAGTTTTTTTTACATAAAAAAGTCTTAAATACTTCTATATTAATATACACATTTAAATAAAACACTTTAGTTTAAAAATATATTATTAAATTCTTTTGAAAATATTTTTAACTTCCACTTTGATTTTGTTTAACTAATATATGTTTTACTTACTTTTTATTTAATAAAGCTATATATACAAATGATAAAAATTATAAATCACAAGCCTTCAATTGTTTACAAGTTTGTTTACCGCCTACAAAATGTTACTTATTATAATATTCCAGTCCTACTTGTGGCTAGAAGGAAAATAAGTTGACAGCGTCTTTTATTTACATTTGAAATATTTCACCGTGAACTCAGTAAATCTTATGCCTGTCAGTCCTCATCTGTCATTGAAAACCCATTTGAATATTACCGCGAATAACATTGTTCAAGTGTTGCGAATAAGAGCTCGAACAATTTAAACGTTTTGTTGTTACCGATCAATTTCGAGTGTTTCAAAGCTGGACATAACCAATACACAAATACTATAGCTTACATTTCAATTTGAGTCCATTATTTCCTAAACTGGAGCTGAAAATAAAACTGTTAACTGAAACCAATTTAGTTCGTGTTGTCCGTTATTTTTGATGCGGTTTGTGTGGCCTGAATTTAATTAAAATAATTCTATTGTACTTTGCAATTGTGTATTTCGGTAAAACAGGCTTCAAAAGGGTAATTTTCATTTGTTTATCGAAAAACATAATAAAAATTGGGTATCTATACTAATATATGAAGCTGAAGAGTTTGTTTGTTTGAACGCGCTAATCTCAGGAACTACGGGTTCGAATTAAAAATTATAATAGGAAAGGGACGCGACCGACGTCATTGGTAACAGCTTAAGTTTACAAAGATGAACCCAAAATAACGATTCTCGCGGACGAAGTCACTGACGCAGCTAGTAATTTAATCTTATCAAAATTTGTAAGAATTACAATTACAATTTTATATTTTAAGAAACTAAGAAACCTATTATATACTTAAACTTAATATGTATATTGTATCTTAAATATGAAATAAACATTTATATTTATTATCCATAAAACACAAAGATATGTCATAAAATAAATAATTACTACTTAACTATTAATAAGCGCAATAATATGTCATTCGGTTAATTATAAGACTGTTGTTACACTGAGCTGAAACTATCAATTATATTTAACGAGTGTCTAAATAAAGACATCTATTTTCGTGTGACGAATGCTCGCTGCGGTGTGATAGATGGCCAGTGACACTGACGGATATCGGGGGCGTTTATACTAACATGGTATGCTTTAAGTGTATTTTTTAAAAAGGCAAACTTTTAAGACAAAAGACAACTATAAGAAAAAGCGGAAAATTTATTTGAATATTTAATAATTTTAAAAAATCACTTCTTTTTTTATTTTGACGTTAACATTTACATATTATTAACGTTCAACGTCCTTTAATCGAAAGAAATATCATTGACAATGACCTTACTATTTAGTTATATGAAAAATCTGAAATATTTTTTTATTTCTAAAGCTATTTTGTGCATCTACATGTATTACAAAATTAAAGCAACGCCTTACAAGATTTCCTGCTCGAACGCAAAATGGTGTCTGCGGCTGACTGCTGAAAATGAATTTAGGGTTGGTCAAAATAGGGGATCGTGTTACCATGACAACCGCGTCCTAGAATGATTCGATGGGGCGATTAAGTTTGTATTGAATGAGACGAGTTCGACATAGGTAAGGGATGGGGAAGTGCAGTGGGGTTCCGAAACGCATTATAGTTGATAGAACATTCAGTGGCGATTGTAACAAATAAAGCAAATTAAAAAAATACAAATTATATTTAAAGCACAACACAATATATTTCATCTAGAAACAGAGAATCAACAAATAAATGTGTATGCATTAAATTTTACACAACAATATGAAATGTTTTATTTTTTCAATGTCAATTGTCACCCACACAAAGCTTACATATTATACGTATATAAAAACTTTGTTCATTGTCATAGTTCATATCATAAAGTGATTCCAATCAGACATTGTTATGTTTACATACGACTACAATGCCACGCAAACGTGATAAAAAATCAAAGGCTTTAAA